TGTTTAGTACCAATTAAACAACATACTTGAACTCTGGTAATGTTCAAAGGGTTGTAGAGAGATTTGCCATAATTAACATAGATGTAGAAGGGTTATTTCTGTCTTGTTAAGTGCTGGTGTTTCCCCATGTAAATATGACAGAGTGCATGTATGCTTTTTGGCATTTCTAGTTTTTAACTGACTCCTTAGATTTAACACTGAACTGATTTGGTAGCTACAAAAAGTGGTCTGCAGTCTCTAGCAACGCTCTGAAAGATTTTTTTTTTTTGGTCACTTTGTCCCAGGAGGGGATTTTGCAGCGTACCTGTAGGCCTACGAAGGAATGCTATTATGTAAAACAGCTACTAGGAGAGTCCCTAATCCACCTCCAATCCCCTTATTAAGGGAGACATCCGCTTTACTGCACATGCAGTATTGAATTAGAAATCCAACCTGCTGCCACGCCTTCCCAGCCTGATATATCATCCTTCTTTTCTAAACAGTATTCAGTTACTGTTCAGTCTCACCTGAACTAAATACTTTGGTGTTTAAGAGCTTTTTATCAAAATGTTTCGTACAAGCTTGTGTATTCTGGGGAGCAAATTGAAATTTTTCCGTTGCTCTAGTGGCTGATGACATATGATAATGCAATGAAATGCTTGTCTTTTAACAATTACGTGGTATCAGCTAAACTTTTTGAATTGTTAAGTCTTTAAATTTAAATGATAAAATCCTTAAGAGTGCAGGTGTGTCAATTGTGTTACACCTAATAGAGGATAAAATGGTGTAGAACACCTGAAATGGATATATTTTTTTTGGTAACTTGAGATGCATTGCTGATGGTGGTCCTTCCTATGGGGTCAACTCTCCTAGGGTTTACAGTGCAATAATATGCAAGTTAATGTAGTTGAGACACTGTTGTTGCCTTTTCCTACATTTTTCTCTCATTTTAAAAAGTGCAATGTTATCCAGATATTGTCCTGCTTTTCTACACAAGTTGACTTTGTTAGAGAGATTTTTAAAACATTTTTTTCAGGTCACACCTGCTGTCATGACCTAAAGGGTTACCCAGCCTGCGGGTATATAGAGATTGTGACTGTGGGTTGGTAGGATTCTGTAACATACAAGGACATGGAGGTTTTTTACTCTTAAATTTTTCTACTTTATTACAGATTTCCACAAATACCGCAAAAATCACTGCTAGCAACTATGCCTGTGATTGATAAAGCCAATATATATATGAATGAAAAAATATATATTCATATATACATAAAGATGTTATAAATTATTGGCAGCAATCAATAGCATGGCAGCAACCAAGTAGGTGTATGTTATTACAGGTTACTACAAACTTATCACTAGTGAAGCAAACTTATCAATAATATAGCAGCAGAAATACTTATGATAGGTTACTTATATGCACATATATGTGTATGTTCACAATAATATCAGTATCAAGCTTAATAGACAGATATCAGAATGTGCTAGATCCTCCCAGAAGGGAGGACAAACCAAACTCTCCCCGGCGAGGGTCCAAGATCTTGTAGAAAGTTTGTGTGGAGAGTTCAACCAATTTAGGAAAGGAAAAATACATGCAGCATGGAAAGTTCTCAGAGTCATTTTTATATCCTGGAGAAATAAGGAGGTGTAGGACACCACCACTTCATCAATCACTATATACTGTTAATTTCTGTTTTTCACCCGGAATAGCCAATAGATGTTGATGTTTTCTGTGCTCTCAGACCAATTTTTATTTTTCCAGACTGTTTTCCTGTTCTTGCAGTTAGACCAGCCAATGGCAGTTACCCATTCTTACTTTCTCAGGGTGTTTTCCCCCTTTTCCAGACTATTTTTTATCTTTTCAGATGATAAGTTGCTGTTACAGTTCCTTGGTTTTGCGCTTACCAGTGGTATCTCAGGATGTCTCCGGTTTCTAAGTACTCAACTGTGTACTTCTCAGAGGCCAACTCTACTTCTCAAGGATGCTTCTGGTTCCCAGGGTGGCAGGCATTTTCTGTCAGCATTTCAGCAGACGTTTTCTTCTGTTCAGTAACTTTCCCCTTCTAACCTGGTCACCTTTATGGCTGCTCACGTCACCTGCATGTCCAGTTAAGACGTGCACTGCTCCTCTTGTAATATTTCAAAGTTTCTTGCCCAGCGGAAGATAGGGAGCTGAGATTGATATACCTGGGAGGGAAATTATGGAAGGTGATTAATCTTGGACCTGAAGCTTGACCTTTTATGTTTTACCCTTTTGTGTGGGTGTGGAGGGGGAGGATGTTTGAATTTTCACTGTCTGAAGATGAAATCCAAGGAGGACTCTGTCCTCATTGTCAAGGAGGATACTCATCTGTAAAGCCCAGTAGATAGATACCATGGTGAAATGTTCTCACATGCTCTTCTCAAGGGTCCGTGACCTCTGCTCTTTGTAGCCAGCTTCACTCGTTCTGCAGGAGGACCCCTCAGGGCTGGAGAAATGTTGTCTCTAAGTTCAGTTCAGCTTGGCCAAATTGTAGATTATTTCAGAGGAGAGAGCAAGGAAGAACACTTCTTATCCGCTCTGTGGTTTCTGTTGCTTAGCAAACGTGAAGTATTTAACTGAACACAGAGGTCTTACAATACCAGACCACGCTGCTGCCAAAGTAGCAACAAACGCTGCTTTAAAGAGTTGGAGAGGCCAGAGCAGTCATAGTGGGGTGGATTTAAATTGCAAAGTCGTGTACTCCAAGGTTAGGAAATGCCATGAAATGTGAAGCTGTGACAATCCTTAATGATGAGATGCTGTATTTTTTGTTTTGTTTTATAGGAGTTCTACCTCGTTCGTTGTGTACCCTTTAATTCTGCCTCTTTGCATAAAGAAATTCTGCATCTCTGGCACTGCTTGTCCTCCTAGTGGTCAAGTTTCTGGGGATTTTGTTCTTTTTTTAATAGCACAAGATGTAGTGCAATCAGAACAATGAGAATTAAGGAAGCTGGAAGATCTGAGTAGACTTTCAGGGGCATTGAGGTTAATTTACACTACTTGTGGTTTTCTTATGTACACACAGTGCATAGTCACTTCCTCTTTAAAAAAAGAAGTGCTTAATGAAGAATTTTTTTCCCTTTAATGGTCTTGAGAAGAAAACATCCCTATCAAGCTTTGGAACTTTTTGTGATATCTTCATGGTATTGCACAAGCTCCAGTGCATTTGAAGTGCAACAGATGTTTCCCCTCAGCTGTGTGCATGCTCTTGTTCTGGAACAAGGCGAGCCCTTGAAAGTAGGGTGAGCTAATTATAAATGTAGTTTTCTTGTTGGATTTAAAATTCCTTGTGGACACATAATTAGGAACAGCTCCATGTATAGGTATGCCCTTATGTCCATATCTTTCCATTTATTTACAGGAAAGACAATACCTGCTGCAACAGTGAAAGTTCCTTACCCTACCCGTGGGGATAAATTTCAGTTTTAGTTGCTGGAGGATAACGTGGTTTCTGTGCCCCAGCTCTTCTTACCAGGGTCACTAACAAAGTATCAGGGCGAGATGACAGCACTCCTTTCAGTCTGGTGCAGTTCAACCTGTAGCCTCATGGTGGAAGCTGTCACGTTGTACTGTCCTCTCGATTTGTGTATCTTTTTCCCATCTCTCCTAATTCTGTGCTCTAAACCTCTTAGTGCTGCAGGAATACAGATAATCTACCATCACCTAACTTGCACAGTGGATAAAATGATTGGAGATACTGCACAAGGGCCTTCTGCAGAGGGGGAAAGTTCATCAGGTCTTCTGAATATTTGCACTGGGGCTTCGGACCTTCTCAAAACACGTAATGACTGGAGTCAGAGAGGCTCAGATATCAAAGTTATCTGATTATCAAAGATTTACAAGGCAATATGTGAAAAGAAACAGAAGAGGTTGCTGGAGGGTAGAACATAATGTATGAATCTTGTAAAACAACATGAAGTCTGAACCCCTGTATCTGTGCTGATAGTGGAATTAGCGAGTATTTTCTGTTCTGATTTGCTTTAATCTTGAAATACACCTGCTGTTCTACTATTTATTGAGATTGAGCTTAAAAAACAGCCCAGAGACCAAAATGTAGAGTAATTTTTTTTGTTTAAAAGGGGAAAGAAACAAAAAAAGAGATTCCCAGTCGTCTTTTTGTCCTGTCTCTTGTATGCCTATCTGGGAAAAGTGATCAGTGATAGTGACCCCGTTGTAGCTCTAGAGTAAAATAAGGTCATGAACAAGGATACTGCCAGTGACAAAAAGGCAAGGCTAATTAGCTGCAGAAAAGCCTTATGCATAGTTGATACTAAGTTCTCACGACAAAAGTTGTGAGAGTGTGTACATGTGCTTGTATAAGTAAATATATGTGTGTGGATGTATATATATAAGTTATTATATGGAAGTTAGTAGGGCCTACTGAAACCTTGGAAAAGGGTAAAAATCTGAACTTAGTTCCTCGTCTCATAACCCCTTCTTAAAACTGTAAGATACTGAAGTCCATAATAGGGCTATTTGACTTATATAAAAATACAGGGGTGCCAGAAATTGATGGATAGAGGGTTATATGGCATCATATAACTTTATATGAGTATATCTTTGGGGTTTTTTCTACCCATAGACATGGGGGAAGAAAACAGATACTTTTTTTTTCTTTCTTGTTGTGACCACTGGATTTAGCAATAGACAGCCTTTCCTGCAGATTATTTCTTTGGGGAATGAAGAGTACGTCACGTTGTATTTAGATAAAGGTAGCTTGTACCAAGGGCTTATTTTTGATACATTGCATCTTGAAAAGAAAACTTTAATGTTGTTTTTCTCCTTGCTTTAAAAATTGTAACTAAACATTTTCTACGTGATACAGCTGTGCGCTTTTTATGAAGTCTTTCTGGCCCTTGATTACTTGTTTTTTCAGGTAAATATATTTGGTGTGGCACAGATTAAAAAAACCCCATTTAATCTGTCATAATTAGGTTTTAATTTTCTTATAGAAGTACTTCAGAGTAACTAAATCTTTTTCTTCTCCCTTAATTAACAGAGGAGGAGCTCAGGAAGCTGAGAGAAGAAACAAACGCTGAAACATTAAGGCAGGAGCTAGAAAAGGAACGGCAGAGGAGATTAGAACTAGAGCAAAAAGTCAATGAAGTACTTAAAGCAAGGTAAGAGAAATATCTAAAGCAAGGTAAGAAAAATATCTTCACTGGAAAGCTGAAAGCCACTTGAGATCTCTTACTGTCTCTGAGGAGTTGTGGTGAAAGCATCCATTTCTAGCCTAGGCTCTTTTAAAATAAATTAGTAGCTCACAGAGAGAGAAGCTGCCTATGTTCTCCTGTAAAAGTACATCTTGTACACCCATGTACACCTGAATTATTTGACCATACATACTGCCCTAGCTACTGAGGTGTCCAGGCGCTTGTCTAGTTGGGATAGTCTTCATTTCACCTTCTCTGATGCCCTCCGTCTGGGATCTCAGCTACCTGGAGTTATCAGTGTGTACTGTGTGCTACTGAATGCCAGAGCCTTTGGCATGCTGTTGCATATGCTTTGCCTCTTCAAAACCTGTGTCATCTCCAGACTGCCCAGTCCTTGTTACTCCCATTCTAGCAGCAGCAAGGACATCCCAGTACCACAGCACAACCCTGAATGTATGGGAATGGCTGGAGTCTGAGCCTTCCTTGCCACTGCAGTGACAAATGGAAACGTGCCTCCCTATACCCCTAAGTCCTTTCAGCCTTGAGGACACTTACCTTGATGATGCAAAACATCACATTTGATGTTGTCTCTCCTTAGTCTGCCTAGAGTTTAGATCTAAAGACCATAGCAGCTGCTTGGTGGCCTTGTTGGTCTAGACCACTTGCATATGTAGCTGCCTGTGTTATCTTCCTCCTTAGCAGTAGCTAAGATTACTTGGCTAAGCAGTAGGATCTGTAGGAAGGGCGTGAAGGAAGGGCACTGAAGATCAACCAGGGAGCAGTGGTCTCCACCCGGCACAAAGCCATGACCTTGCTTAGCTCTGCACCCACCATGACTGATGCAGGTTCCCCAGACAGAGCTCCGGCGGGAACATGCTGCCACCCTGGTGTCAGGCTGCAGGGTGTGCCCTGCTCTTACGCCAGTACCGGATGGCAGCAGTGCAGCAGTGGGAGGTGCACCCAGGGAGAGGAGCTCCTCCGCTTAGTGACAGAGCTCTGGGAGGAGGCGAGTAGGCTGAGTATCAGGGAAAGCGAGAGAGGGAGAGTGCTGGAATTGCACCGTGCCTTCCCTGGGACAGGCCCAACAGGCAGAGAGGACGCATGATACAGAGGGTTCCCTGTCCTCTCTCCGCCTGACAGAACACGGTGACTTAAGGGATATGGGGTAATGGCAACAAGTTCCTGCCCAGCACAGCAGGCGCATCTCCTCTGTGACTGCTCCACCTTCCCAGGTGCCCTTGTGTGGTAGGTACGAGGCTCTGCAAGTGGAACCGAACTATGACAAGCCAATGGTTCATCTAGCTCGGAGGTGTCACTGAAGTTAAGTTGGCCTATGCCCTGCATCAAAACTGCTTCCATAAAGAAGAAAAGACGTGTCATTGTCACAGGAGGCTCCCTTCTGAAGGGAACAGAAGGCCCAATATGCAGACAGGACCCACTTCTTAGGGAAGTCTGCTTCCTCCCTGGGACCCGGGTTAAAGATGTGAAGAGGAAGCTTCCTACCCTGGTACAGCCCTCAGATTACTATCCATTATTGGTTTTTCAGGTAGGCAGCGTTGAAGTTGCAACAAGAAGTCCGACAGCAACCGAGAGACTTCAGGGCCTTGGGACAACTGGTTAAGGGATCAGGAGCACAAGTAGTGTTCTCCTCTGTCCTTCCAGTTGCAGGAACTGATGAGGAAAGAAACAGAAAGAGCCAGGAAATCAATCCCTGGCTCCGA